ACTTCTCTTTTAGTTTACCATTTCACTTCTCTTTTAGTTTTGTTCAACCTCCTTTTCTATTCTAGCATAAATTACATATAATTTATTTACAACTAATAAAAGGATATTTATGTGAAAATAATTTTTAAAAAACATTTTTCATTTCACCTCTTAAAGTTGTGTCTAATCATCAAACATAAATCATGTGAGAAACTACTTGACAATAATCAATCTAGTATTAAACTTCATTCATTTGATCACTATTATAAAATGATACTTTACGAAATATTTTGAAAATCTTAAAATACACAATTTACCCTTTTTTTTTTGTATTTTGCATGTTTTCCACTTTATCTCAAATTTTCAAAATCTTAAAACATACTACAATTTTTCTTTGAATTAATCAACGAAAAAAGAATTTTTTTTATCAGGGTTTTCAAATGTTTTATGAATTTCTTTTATTCAAAATAAGGTAGTAATATACTTTAGAAATAAATATGCAAGATATAAAGAACAACAAGAAAAATGTCAAAGATTTATATTGATTTACCTGTCAAAGAAAGCTACCTTCATCAGTTGCTTAATCATCCAAATTGAGATAATTCACTAAAATCAATTTTATATTAATTTACCTTCTAAAGAAAGCTACATCTAGTTGCTTAATTATCGTAATCGAGATAATTCACTAAAATTAAGCTTTTACAAGCACTACGTAAGAAAAATAAGAAGTGTAACACAACAGAATATCTTGAACCATATAAGATCTTTTGTAGCCTTTTGTGAAATCCTGTCATAAGAAAGTTATATTGGCAAACCTAGTCAAGAAATGAATTACAAAATTTGAAAAACAAAAGTGGAACATAATCACCTTAACAATAAAGTGCAAAAGATTATCCCATCTAGAAGCAATAATAGGTTATTCACAAAAACAATAAAAAATAACACTTGAATCTTGATCTATAAAAAATATTTGACAAAAGGTTCAAGAAATATCTTTTGCTTTTCACATAAGTGTTTCAGATGTGTAAAAATCATATATGAAAAAGTTATTTTAATTTCTCTTATAAATCGGAAAAGATTGAAATCAATTTTGAACATGTTGAAATTTATTCCAATCAATTGAAATAGTGTAAAATTAGTTTGTTGAATTTTTTTTAATTGATTCATTTTCAATCCGGTTAAAATCACTTGAAATGACCATTAGTGGTTTGAATTTATTTATTCATATTTCAATTTGGGTGAAACAATTAAATTTGATTTTGAACAAAAAATAGTCAAGGATTTTAATTGTTAAAACTTTAATTTAGTTTATCTAAATTTAAACTTGTGTTTCTAGCAAGTTTGTGAACAATTTAACAAGTTAAAATCTATTTCAAGCAATTGGAATCTTTTGAGAGGAAAACAAAAATTTAGGATCTGAACTATCTAGATCAAGCATTATATATTTACTTCAATACAACCTAAACCTAAAAATTATAACTCTACACAAGATTAACTACAAGAAAAACTCTTCAAGGCACCCATGATCAAATCTAAGTGACTTGGATCATTAAATCAATTCACTCAAGCTTGCTTGAATCTTCAATGTCAAATTTAATCGGAACGTGACTAACTTAATCTTCGCAACAAGACAATTAATGTTACTTGTCATAATATTCATTTCAACAATTACCACATTCGAAATTTAATGCAATTCATTTAACCTTCAACAATTATTGCAACTTACACAAATTTCCCTTTGAGCAATCACCCTGTTAGTAATAAAATTTGTAACATCATCTCTTATAACAATTGTTGGATCAAAATAGAAAAGATAGACAAACTTGCACTCCAAACTATTATTTGAAGTTATCTCAACTTTTGCAGAAAATATGCATATATAGATCGAATATGGGTTTTGGTTCATTTTCTAATACATGATCTCCATCCTCACTAAATGTCCTTAACTTATTAACTGACCTAAAGAATTTTTTTTCATGGTTTATTTTGGTCTTTAATTTCCTTTCATTTGAATAACTCTTCTTTCATAATTATGTGAACCTCTATTTTATTAAATTAAATTATTTTTAAAACACTCATTTAATAATTTTTATTTCTGTTATTTTTTATTTTTATTTATTTATTTTATACAAGAATATGTAACTCTAAATTTCAAATGTTTAATCAATATAAACAACTAATAATTGATTATGTAAGCTAAAAATCTTATCTTTTATTAATTTTCTTTTATTCTTAGTTTATGTAGTTTAAAAAAACACCCTCATTATTTTATTTTTTCGATTCATAAATTTTTCATTTTGTACTAATAGTTTAATTTATTCCCATATCCAACAAATTTACACAAATTTCTAAAATAATTTCTTTTTTAAGTATTTATAAAAAAAAAAGGAATTTTATAATTGTAACAAAAGCATTTTCGATAATTACCGTCATCTATAAAGAATTATTTAATAGGGTTAAATATGTTTTTAGTCCCTCAACTATTAAGCGTTTTTGGGTTTAGTCTCTGTTTCAAAGTTTGTTTCATTTTCATTCCTCTCCTTAATGAAATTGTAATATTTAGTCCTCGAGTACCAACGACGTTAATTTTTAAATGAGCTGGCTAACGGTGTACCATATCACTTTTGCTTTTTCTGAAAAGTGTCAACCTGCATCTTCATGCGCTGAGGTTTCTCTCCCTCCCTTATTCATCTCCATCATCCTCCCAATTCTCTTCAACCCGCAGGTCCCACCTCTTCAAACCCTTTCTTCCTCCAAACGATTCAAGGGGTCTCGAATTTCATGAAATACAAATATAACATGGGGATGGAGTTGTCTTCTCCTATCAACATCTACCTCATCTGGTACAACCTCCAATATCGGCTACAACCTCCCCTATGCCTGGGTTGGGAACTCCGACAAACAGTGCCTAGAGGTGAATGCCCGCCAGCAAGGTGATAAAATAATTGAATGCCAATAAAACAATGAAAATGAAAATGTCAAGACCAGCAATCGTATCTATTGTCCTTCTCCTAATTACTCGATGTGAAGCTCAGGGTTCCATAAAATACCCCACAGTCATTGAGGATGTTACACCTTGTGTTAGCTTCCTCAAATCAAACACAAAAATTACCCCTTTAAGCAGTGTTGCCAAGGTATCAAGACACTGACTAGTGAGGTTAGAAGCCATGAAAATAGAGAAGCTATATGTTTATGCCTCAAGTAAGGATGGACAACGACCTCTATTAAGCTTCCTCTTATTGACGACAAAACTGAATGCAAAAAGTAAATTTCTTTGCTCTTTGTCAAATTCAATTTTTTATTATGCTTCCAACTTAACTTTGACAGGGAAATGATGATGACTATTTTTTATTTTTGGTCATGCAGAGCAATCTTTATCATGTGAGGTTCATTTGGGTTGTTGCAAGTGCAAGATTATTAGATTAATATATTATAAAGGGAGTAGAAAAATAAATTGACAGTGAGCTTGTACTGACTCATGAATAAATAAAATTGCTTTGTCAACTATTCTGAATAAGAATGCAACTTCCTCTACTGCACAAGCAATGACATATGTTAACTAAAGTTGATCTAATTAATCTTTATATATTTTTTTTAATATAAGTATGGCTCGGCTAGCTTTGGAGGTAGCAAAGGCAGTAGTCTCTGTTGCCTTCTATTTTGTCTGTTGTTTTCTCTCAGGTTTCGTAGTGCATTGGCAGCAAACCTTGATGCATATATGGCAAACGAATCAAGTTGGGTGGGGAGGAAGCTAGTGAAACGTATTGGGGGATGTCCGATGCTCTATCAATTGCTGTTGATCTTGATTTCTCCATGTCCCCTCCCCAATCCCAGGTACCATATTGTCTTTCCAAAATGTTTACAAACACTTATACTTTGAATTTATCGAAAATCATAAAGCATTGGGGCCAACACAAGCCTTCAAAATAGAGCTCCAAATCCACTGCACCAGAAACTTTCTTCTGTTTTTACTCCATCTCCCATAACGGATATGATGTAACCACCTCCATCACCCGTTGTGTACAAGCCCTCGCATAGATCACCAATCTCGGTGGGTACGGTGGGGTCCTCACTGGCGGGCGTTCACCTCCGAGCATTATTTGTCGGAGTTCCCAACCCAGGCGTAGGGGAGGTTGTAGTCGACATTGGAGGGGAAGTAGTGGAAGCCGCAAACGCCATGGCAGAAGGTAGATCTCGTTGCTATGATCGACAGGGAAGGTTCTGCTATTGGGACCACTTGTCATACAGATGAGGTAGATGTTGGCCGAAGAAGGCAACACCGGCCCCATGTGATATTTGTGCTTCACGAATTCCTGAACCCCTTGAATCGCTTGGAGGAATGAAGGGTTCAAAAGGGTGGGACCTGCGGGTTGAAGAGAGTTGGGAGGATGATGGAGATGAATAAGGGAGGGAAAGAAACCTCAGCGTGAAGATGTAGGTTGACACTTTTCACAAAAAGCAAATGTGATGTGATACACCATTAGCCAACTCATTTAAAAATTAACGTCGTTGGTGCTCGAGGACTAAATATTACAGGTTTATTAAGTAGAGGAATGAAAATGAAACAAACTTTAAAAGAGGGACTAAACCTAAAAACGCTTGATAGTTGAGAACTAAAAACATATTTAACCTGATTAATAATGTATTGTAATATTTATGTAGACAAAGTTAATATTTAACATTAAAAATGTGGCATTTTAATATTTTGTAAGATAGTGTAATGAATACAACTCAACTTTTAGAACAATCCTAAGCAAAATCAAATTAAAACGTTAAGTAGACATCATATGAATTAAGTTGAGTTTACATATAAAAGAAACTAATATAATAAAATTAAAAATCAGAAAGATGAAAGACTAAGATCATCCGGTTAAAATATAAACGAACTTAAAAGGTAAATGACTTTCATTCATTTAACAACATATTAATTAAAACTTATCTAAAAGTCTGTCAAAGATCAATAACGTTATTATCTCATGTTCTGAAAAAAAAAAAAAAAAGAATAGAACAGAGCATACAAATGATTGAGGAAGGCAAAAAAGCATAAAATCGTGGAGAGTAAAGAACGAATATTGGCACAGCGCGTGTTCGACAAGTTCACTTTCACATTCATTACCGAAAGCACAATAAAACGCTCCACCGCACTGCGCTGCCCAGAAACCCTAATCACAAATAATTTCAACTACTCCTGATGGTGGTGGACCTACAAATTTTAATCTCAGTGCTGTTTTTCTTTTTCCCCCTTTTACAAAGCCAAATTAAAATATGACTCATTCATTTCAATCCCTTCGACACGAGACAAACCGACTTTTTAAGTTTTATCTTAATTTAGAAGACAGATCATCATCATCATCATATTCATAACATTATACATAACGACATCTCTCTCTCCATCGCTCGCAGTACACGTGGACGGTACTTATCAAATCACCAAACTCCGGTCCCATCGGACGGATGAGATCGAATCATATCCTCCGCAGCTTCTCTGCTTTGATCACGGGGTTAGCCCGAGCAATCTCCTCTCGCCCCACCGTCTTAAAGTCGAACCCGCACGCGTGCTTCTCCGGATACCTGTGGGTCCCGCAAAACGTGACTCCGCACCTGCACTTGAACCCAGTCAACCCCACACGCTTCCGACACGCGGCGCACCGGTTCGGTTGCGCTGAACCCGAGGATGTAGAGCTCGTCACCACCGCGACCTGAACCGGAATCGCGACCGCAGCTTCTGCCGGGAGCGAAGGCGGGGGCGATGCTTCGAGAAGGACATCAATCGCCGCCGGTGGCGCCGTGGACAGCGGTGTCTTCGCGGAGGAAGAAAGCGCGGTTTCGATCGTGGATTTGGTCGACACGTCGTCCTGCTCCTTCAAACGGATCGCACCGTAGCATTTGGAGCAGAGNAAAAAAAAAAAAAAAAGAATAGAACAGAGCATACAAATGATTGAGGAAGGCAAAAAAGCATAAAATCGTGGAGAGTAAAGAACGAATATTGGCACAGCGCGTGTTCGACAAGTTCACTTTCACATTCATTACCGAAAGCACAATAAAACGCTCCACCGCACTGCGCTGCCCAGAAACCCTAATCACAAATAATTTCAACTACTCCTGATGGTGGTGGACCTACAAATTTTAATCTCAGTGCTGTTTTTCTTTTTCCCCCTTTTACAAAGCCAAATTAAAATATGACTCATTCATTTCAATCCCTTCGACACGAGACAAACCGACTTTTTAAGTTTTATCTTAATTTAGAAGACAGATCATCATCATCATCATATTCATAACATTATACATAACGACATCTCTCTCTCCATCGCTCGCAGTACACGTGGACGGTACTTATCAAATCACCAAACTCCGGTCCCATCGGACGGATGAGATCGAATCATATCCTCCGCAGCTTCTCTGCTTTGATCACGGGGTTAGCCCGAGCAATCTCCTCTCGCCCCACCGTCTTAAAGTCGAACCCGCACGCGTGCTTCTCCGGATACCTGTGGGTCCCGCAAAACGTGACTCCGCACCTGCACTTGAACCCAGTCAACCCCACACGCTTCCGACACGCGGCGCACCGGTTCGGTTGCGCTGAACCCGAGGATGTAGAGCTCGTCACCACCGCGACCTGAACCGGAACCGCGACCGCAGCTTCTGCCGGGAGCGAAGGCGGGGGCGATGCTTCGAGAAGGACATCAATCGCCGCCGGTGGCGCCGTGGACAGCGGCGTCTTCGCGGAGGAAGAAAGCGCGGTTTCGATCGTGGATTTGGTCGACACGTCGTCCTGCTCCTTCAAACGGATCGCACCGTAGCATTTGGAGCAGAGGTTCATGGTAGCGGAGCTACCGAAGAAGCCGCAGTTGTTGGCGCAGAGACGGTGACCTTCCGGAGTCTCGCATCGGTGTTCTTCCGCCATGAGATCTTTCGATTTAGGTTTTTTATGTTCTCTTTCTTCTTCGAGGAATCGGAATAGTCTTGGAACCTGCCGGAATTTCCCGGAAAAAGAAAGAGAAACAAAAAAGAGAAAACGATTAAGATTCCGTTCGAATCCAAGAAAATTTAAAGGGGGAAAAATTGAAACGCTGGGTGGTGGCTGGAAGGAAATAGTGCATATAAGTAGAAACCGAAAAACGAAAAAATACAGGTTGTGAAATTAAACAAAGTAGGGTTATAAATAGCCGAAATTAGTTGCTGTAACGAAATTTGATCAAATAATGAGAAATAAAATTAAAATAAGAAAATAGAGAGTTAGAAGGAAATAGAAATAGTACCTTATTGAGGTTGAGAATGAGAAGAAGGAAGGGGGAAGAGGGGATAATAAGAACGACGGTGGAAAGAGAAACTTAACGGAGAAGGATTGATTAACAGATTCAGAAAGGTCTGAGAGAGAAAAAGGAAAAGACGGCAAAACTCGACAAATCATAATAATTATTTTCAATCATTAATACTTTCTATCCATTAAATTAAATACAATAATTCATTCAAAATATTTAAATAAGTTATTTATTTATTATAATAGTTTCTTACCAGAATAATAAATATTGACAGTCACAAAATTTATCTGCCAAGTGGTGACATTAACCTAATGATTACGTGTTTATAAAACTCTTAATTTTAATTTATAGTCATTTTGAATTTATTTTATTAGCATTGAGGGAAAAAAACACAAAGAATAAAAACTTCTAACATTTTTAATCAATAATAAGTATAAGAAAATATACTTTGTATATTATTATAATTTTATCTCAGATATAATTTTTATTAACTCATTTTTAAATTTTAAATTTGTTTTAAAAAAATTACAAAATTAAATTTAAATTTTTTACTTAGGTATTTTTATAAAACTTAACTTGCTCAAAAATTAATTCTTTGACTTTTTTCATTTATTTAAATATAAAGTTTCATATTTACAAAAACTTTGATATTATATCATTTTAGTGTAGTCTTATTTTAAGAAATTCTTATAAAACACGTTAATATTGATATATGAGATATAATAGGATAAGTTTCACGATGAATATTGATAGGGTGTAATTAACAATTATTATAATTTAGTTTTATGTGTTGGTATTTTTAATGAAAATCAAAATAGATATGTAAGTAGTTTTTTGGCTTTTTGAAAGACACAAGCTGATATTTATGTTGAATATTTATGTTGAGTTTGAGATTATTATGTTTCGGAGCATGTTTAGATAATTGTTTAGAGACTTTATTTAGAAAATTATTATTCTTTAGTCTTTTATGATTTTTAAGATCAATTAATGGTTGTTTTAAGTTTTAGAGAAAGATGTTTTAGAGAGAAAGATGTTTTAGAGAAAGATCACGTTAGTGCTTACATTTTTTTTAAATATATGTTGTTCAAAATCTTTTATATTTTTGTAAAGAAAATTGTTGTAATAATAAGTCAATTAATTTAGTTTTCATTTGTAAAGAACAATATAAGTGAGATAATATTTTACATACATATATTTATTTAAATTTATTTTATAAGATGTGTAATTTATTTATGTTTCTTAAGTATAAATTTTATGATGAGTTTGATGTGGTCCTTCATATTTTATATTCTTTTACTTTATTTTATTTTTTAATAAATTTGTTTATGATGACAAATAATTAATAAATTTTTAAAGTGTAATCATAATTAAGGGATCAAAATTCATAATTATGACATGAACTTATGAGATACTAATCGGATCTGGGATCAATATTCTAATAATAATTTTATTTTGAATAATATATGTGAAATTTTTAATTTTAATTCTTTAAGTAATATTTTTGGTTTGAATTTATAAATAGAAAAAAAATGTAGTGAAAGAATCTGTAATTAAAAAGCTGAATGTAAATATGTAAATAGTTTTTTTTTAGAACATATAACACAATTTAAAACATTTAGTTAACTAATGGTTGATAATACTTCAAAGTCACTCAACTCATTCTTCATTATCATCCTAACGATGATTTTTCTTTATTTATTTTATCAAATGTTTGTCTATAACTTTCTCCATATCCTAGTTGGAGCTTTTTAATTAAATATGATTTTTACCGAGTAATGAATGTGATTCTTTATAAATTACTCACAATCTATTTGAAGTTAATACTTTCTTTTTCAGTAAATTAGGCATGAATTAAGTGTTATCAGGAATTATACTATTAAAGACGAAATATGTACCCTTGTTTGATTTAAATTTTTGATAGCACAACAATCATTAGTAATCGCTAATTTTTCATATAAAATGATACTTAAGATTAAACTCCTATATTATATATTCACGTGATAGATTTATACCTGTTCTTAATGTATTTTACACATGTTTCTTTCTAACAATAATCAAACACGTGATTTATCGATTGATTGATCTTGTTTTAAAATTAATGATTAGTTTAATATAATTATATACCAATTGGTTTAGTGTATAATTATGGTGCGGTTAATGGAAAATGATAAATTTAGGCATGATGTTAATTTTTTTTAAGTAGGCACTAAAAAAAATATTATCGAGAGATAGAGACAGCGAAAAAAATGCAAAGTCTTTTTGGTTAAGAAATAATAAAAAAGTAATGTACTAAAAAAAAGTTGCTAATGTACCAGAAAGAATAATAAAAAATTGATATTATTATATGGAATGAAAGGGACAAGGTGGCAGTGGAGGTACTGAATATGGATTTGGTAAACACTTTTTAAGTTCAGCATCTTTCTAGAATTTAGGAAAACATTTTCTGAAAAATAAATAAACAAATAAAGTGGTGGACAATCTGTCAAGTAAACTGTTCATAATAAATAATAATGTTTTTCTTGCCATAAATTTTGTCTGATCTTTGAATACTTTCGAAATGAGCTGTCTTTAAATATTCATTTAACTTTTTAAGAAACTTTTTAAGAGTTGAATTGACATGATTAAAACCAATAATGATTACTTAAAAAATAGTAATATATTGTCATAAATTAAGAGAGTTGGATGCTCTGTTTCCCAATGTCTCACGTTCTTTAAACAAAAATATGGTTTATATTATTTTCAGTAATAATAAATGTCATTGATTCAAGCCGGACTTGTAAATATATGTATATTCTTAAATACGACGTTAATTTATATAAATTAAAATAATCTTATTTATAAGTCATTTTTTAATAATATAAAAAATTATCTTTTTAATAATATAAAACTTATCTTTCTTTTATAATTCCAACACTTACTTGATGAATCAGGTTCCAATTAAAATAAATTTTAAACTTAATTAAAATTCAAAAGTAATTTTTTATTAGAGTTGTTAAAATAAATTAAAAACTACAAGTTAATCCGGTTTAATTTGAGTTAATTCGATTTAAAAAAATTATAAATTTTACGTTAAACTTATGGTAAGTTGAGTTATTAATTTATAAATTTTAAATATTAAATTATATTAAAAAAACGAAAATCTTAAACTTATATTTCAGTGATTTGATTTGCATTTCGTCAACTTTAGGTGTGTTCTTTCCTAGATTTGATGCAGACCCTAATTCTTTGCATATTACTCAAACTGTGATCCTCTATTCAATTGTTGTTTCTAAAATTATCACTGTTTAATTAAATGAATGAAACCTTTAATCCATCAATGGTTAAGTCGAGTTTGAATTTTTTTAAACTTGTTAATAAATAAATTAATTAAATTTATTTTGACAGTTTTAATTTAATTTTTAGTGTATCATTTATCCTAATAGAATAATTTTCAATTAAATATATGTATATTCTTAAATATATGTCATTGACCAAGAAGGACTTGTTAATATATGTATATTCTTAAATATGACGTTAATTTATATAAATAAAAAAATTTATTTTATAAGTTAATTTTTTGCGAAACAATATAATTAGATTTAAAATTATCTTTTTAATAATATAAAAAATTAATTTAATAAAATTGGTTGAAAACATTATATTATTTATTATTTGTAACATCCCAAAAGTATAGCTATAAACTATACTTAAGGGTCCTTACATTTACAATAAAATAGAACAGTTACAGAAAATAAAGTTAACTTACAGTTATTCTAAAATAACCATAAATTAAAACTTTACAGAAACCTATACTAATACAAATCATAAAAGCAGACCGATCGATCATACAAGAGGTGTATCAACCGAACGATCATACAACAGTGTATTACGTCGAACGATCCTATACTAAAAGCATTCCTAACATCATTAAGAGAGTTTCATCACAGATTTGAGATTCAATTCTGCAGAGTCATGAACTCAATAACTGAGAAGCAGATTTCCTAGTTTTAGTATCGTTTTGAGTGACTCAAAGGTTCTAACAAGTCTTAAACCACTTGCCCAGATTCTCTATACCAACCACAATCACACCGAACATAATTGCTCCAATTTCACTATCCCTCTTCATCATAATTCACACGGCCATGAACTAGAAACTCAGCATAAATATAATCAACATGAACACAGCTATTTAACAGTCCACACCAACTCAACCGTACACAAAATCATTAAATTTCACAAACATGCAACATCATCAACAACCTTTTCATACATCAAAGCTAAGTAATTAAATTATCTAGCTTCCCTTACCTTATAACTGGACCGAACAGCAAGCTCAATCAATCTGCAGAATTGCGAGCACCACACACCAAAATCCTAGAACACCTAAAGCTCACCGATTGAGAAGGAAGAATCACCCCAAAAGACCAAGAAAGTGATTAGAAACGAGAATAAGAAAAATGATAAGCACATGCAGCCAGGAACTTTGGCTTGCATGTACCAGGAAATAGAATTTTCTAGGAAGAAAGTGAACTTACTGATTCTATAACTTGATTTTTTGATCGGTGGAAGACAATGATCTTGACTCCTAGATTGCTTAAACAGTGGCTAGTTGAAGAAAAGAATGAAAGGGGATGAAGAATTTCTAGAGAGAAGGAGAAGAAAAGAATAGGCTTGAATTTTAGAGAGATGCAGATTTCTGAGAAAATGAGATGAGCTGTGGTTTGGGAAATTCTATAAAATGTTAAATCTCTTTTGGTTGAGACATTTATCCCTCTCTTCCGAGTGTCATTTTCAGGGGTTTGACATTCTTCTCATCAACAAAAAATTTTATCCTCGAAAATTAGGACATACTAAAGAACAGAGGAGGGAACAACTCCCTCATGACATCTTCAAATTTCCAGGTAGAGTCACCTGTTCACACATCTCAAACCACCTTAACCAGGCTGATGGATTTTTCCTCTTAGATAAGCTCTCTACTAAGTTGACCACCTGCATGTCGACCGAATGGTTTAGTTGAAGTAAGGAGCCGAATGATGACGTTTAAATAAAGAGGTCATAACGCTGAATGAAGAATCGAACGGTAACTTAATACCGAACGAAAAAAGTTACTAATAGGAAGTATCACAAATCTGACAAGAAAGAAAGAAATGATGGAAAAAATTTTTACTG